CATTCCAAAGCAACTGCGACGGTTTGGCAGTCAAGATAAAAAGAATCAAGCCAAAAATTTTACAAAAATTATACCTTGTTCTTATGTGAACCGTATTCCAGTGGGGCCATTCTGCATCGACCGGAACAAATAGTAGTCAGAACGACCAAGGTCTGGTATATAAGGCGAGTGAGGCAAAACTTCCCTGACTGTCTTCTAATTAGTTTTTAAGCGGTCTTGCAACATGGGGCCCGAGTGTTGTTATGATGTAAAATTATTGGCACGTGTTTAGTCGCAAATTCCGGGCATTTTTCAGCAATTGCTCACTTCAATTTGACGAGTTGTTATCGATAGTGTGCCGCTTTAGTGGATCTTATGCAATATGCCCTTCTGATACCACCAAATGCAGAACATTACCTTGAAGTCGTGTGTATTTCGCTTTGCCGTTGATTCGGCGGGTGGCTAGTTTTAACATATTATTTTTTTGCATTTAGGGTTGTCACAATGCGATGCGAAAACGACTTCTTTTCGTAGCGTTCAAACAGCATTTCTGACATGCATTAACGTCTTTCAACGTCTCTTCAATTCGTATGACACCCGATTTCCTTGTTTTGTTATGTATTCGGCTACTTCTACACGTTTTGAAATGACTGTTTAAATGACTCTCAAAGATTCTGCGTGCTTTTCTTTTTGTCAAGTAATGCTTACAGTTCGTCATCCTCAAACTTCTTTAGTCGTCAAGGACATTCTTCGTCTTCCAAGCCAAAATCACCACTTTTGAATCGTGAAAACCACTTTAGGTACGTTCGCTTAACTAGAGCATGTGCACCATAAACTTCCACCAAAATACGATGACTTCGTAAGTTTCTCTTCATATTAAAGCAATGAAGAAGAAGTCTCCGCAAAAACACTTTTTCAGCACAAAGTTCGACAAATTTGAGGTAGGGAAATTGTTGTTGTTCAAATGAATGATATAAACTAAAAAAGACGCCCAAGAACAGTAGCTTTCCAACGCATGTTCGGAATATTATGCACTCTCTTGGCAAACTCCACGAATATAGTTATAGTCTCAATATTAATACCTTTTTCAGAGAGTTTGATTATCAGTTTCCATCATACTCACACGATTTGTTATAGGTCTTCTTGTTAGAACAAGTCAACAAGGACTCACATACAACAAAAATCATAAAAATATTTTCCATTTAATACCCTGCAACCGTGAATAACTAATGGCCCCCCCGAGGAGTCCTCAGAACCCTGCGTTTTATATTTTGTTCGAACAATTTTATGTTTAGCGCCTTAATATGTGATTTCTATGTTTCCCATTTGTGAGCTTAAAGTTCTCGAAACCAGAATTCAAACTACAAACCATTTCGCTGAAATAAGTAAAGCTGAAGTAATTAAATTAAGTGCTTCGGTTACTTCTCGTTTTGTCACGACAATTTCATTTAAGTTTCCGCCACAGTATACAATTTTCCATTAACTCTGATTCACTATGTATACAGTTCTAAAGTATTTCTATAGAATTTTCACCTCAAAGGAACTGATAAGCGCGCCATGTTTATTTACAGTAAATGCTGATAGCGTCTGTCAATTGTTATTTGTCACTTGGCGAGTACTTTGAAATGCAAACAACAAAACTAACGCGAATGTTGAAAACAAAGTATTGTATGTATTTAAATGTAGTTAATTATATAAAAAACTATTTGTAAGGAATGCAGATGTTTTCGACTTCAAAGTTTGCTTAAGTGGTTTCATGCGCCAAAATGCCGTATTTTCAAAAGAAAAATTTTTTATATAAAAAATTAAATATTTTATTCAAACACTTTATTATTCCGAAGAAACATATTTGGTAAAGATTTTGTGAATATTCAAAACTCGGTCATAACGACGACATTTCCGGCAGTCATTTGGAAAAAAAAGTGCGCCCGCGTTGACAGCAGAATTTCTGACAGAATCATCAAAAGTAAAAATAAAAAAAAAACGTGTTTGAACTAAGACAATTAACTAGGTATTGCATCGAGCAAAAACAAATCTTCTCGACGGTTTGTGTTTTTTAAATAGTTGTAATTGAACAAATTTTATTAAGATCGGTTGCATAGTTCGTGAGAAATCTTGACAACCGACTTTGAAAACACAGTTTCGAGAAAAACGCGTTTAAAGTTTTAAGTGACTATATAGCTGAACGCGAGCGCGCATTATTTTCAAAACTGTATCTCCAAAACTATTACTGGTATCAACTTGAGAATTTAGAAAAATATTCTAGATATGTTATAAAATTAAATAAGACTATAGGACTTTATTATGATCGGTCAGTTTATATGTATGTCAGCTATATGCTATATAGGTTCGATAGCGGCGGTTACCACAAATGGGCAGCTTTTTAGAGAGGAAAGGACGTGTGTAAAACTTCAGATCAATATTTGAAAGACTGAGGGGACTCTGACGTTCCTTCTGGATGTCACAAACTTCGTGGCAAACTTCATTTATCCTGTTTAGGGTATTCATAATTTAATTATCTTATCTCGTGTGCAAAAGTTATCAATTCAAACTCACAAAAGAAAACCAAAAGCTAAACAAATAAATAAAAGAAGGCGTTCATTGTTTACAAAATGCAGCAAAATCAACACCCACACAAAACAAATTTAATATCAACAACCGAACATATACAGACAATCGTTACGAAGAGTAAATATAAATATGTATGACACCTTCCTCTATTAAAATATGGCACACAATCACCATGAAAGATGCCAATGAAAAGTGAAAAACAAACCACAGCCGACGAATGATCAAATAGAGACAATTGAGCGACCGCAAAGAGTAACCTTGTTGTTGTTTTGGCTGTTAGTTTTCGATTTTTGTTGAAACAATGGCAAATGAAAGCGAACATTTAATAATGCCCGATTATGTACATATATATTAGGGTGGACCGAAAAAAAATTTTTTTTTTCCTTAGTCTGAGGTAAAATTTGTAGATTATAAAAATATAAAATTTTGGAAAAAAAAATTTGTTTGGCATCTAGAGGCGGCCCACTCACTTTAAAATTACCGAATTTGACTGTTTTTGACTCAAATTTTATTTTAACGCACGAAAGCATGTTGTCGTTTAATACCTTTTTTTAAAACTCCAATAATGACCACAAAAAAAAAATTTCAAGTTGATAACTTTTAATTGGCCAGAAAGAGGACTCTCCACAGCTTCTAGAACACTTATCAAAAATATTTTTACGAAATAAAAATTTTAGCTCGAAATTTACTTTAAAAGTGAGTGGATCGCCTCTAGATGTTAAAATTTTTTTTTTTCAAAATTTTCTTTTTTTATAATCTACAAATTTTACCCTCAGGCTAAGCAAAAAGAAATGTTTTTCGCTCCACCCTAATATATATATATATATATATATATATATGTACATATATAGACATGTATTAAATAAAGAGGGTTTATTTTAAATAAATTAGACAGTTAGTTATTTTAAGAATTTCTTGAAGCTTCATTTATTTAGAGAACTAAACGTTAGAAATTTTTAGATCTTTTAGGTACATAGTATTTTTCCTAAATTTTACTTGATGAATTCGTTTTGCTTCTCACATCGTCTAAAGTGCGTGACTTTGACCATAGCATATGACATTTCGCCTAATTGTATGTAAAATTAAAGACAACTCTTGCCTACTTTTAGGAGTAATGTCGAATGATTTCAATTATAAGTTTATAAAGTATATTGCAATCCTAACGTGGATTAGGTTACATCAGATATTGTTTCGAAATTTAGGTAGTGGAGACGAACTCATGTAATATTTATAGTACTGAGCCTCTGTTGGTCTCCGCGGATGTATGAGATATATTTATGGGTTAATCATATATTCCTTATTTCGAAATTATTAGATATATAACTGCATATAAATATAATCAAAACACATAGTTCGGACTGGAAAATGCTCTTAAAAGCACACACTGTACTCATATATAATTAAACTTACGTATACTTTGTGACATTATTAGAGCAGAACAGTAGAAAAGGCCAGCCAAAATAACAGACAGGTGCGGAACTCAGGGTGAGGTTTAAAAGACACATAAGCACACTTTTATATATAGTATGTATACAAAGTAATGGAACTCATGAATATATGACAGTGAATGTATAACTTATTAACAGGTATCGATATTAGGGATGCACCTTAGTATAAACAGTTGAAACTGTAGAGAGCTAAAGTCAGATATAATACCTAAGATCAAGTAAAAGCAAATGATGACATGCTGCTGGGCACAACTTTTGGAAATTCAGACATAGGTTAGGCTTTGAATGAAAATTTTCTTCTTTAATCATGTTGCAGGGCTCTAGAAATGACGAATATATTAAATGTATATATAAGTAATTTGCCTTACAAATTGAACGTCTTAAATCCAGTTCTTGTACATCAAACATTTGTATTTGACAAAATATCTTCACGAAATTTGGCATATAATATTGTCGAAGGCAAGCCTACAATCTCCGAAAATATACATATTTCGAATCGCACTACTAAAGCATATAGTTGCTATACACATTGGCCATTTAAAATCAAGATAAAGATATTTTTATACTCTTTTATGCTATAAGAAATGAAGCTGTGAAGGTATTATAGCCTACGTGCAGCTGAAGTTTTTTCTTCTTTCCAGTCGCAAGGAAATCTAGTAATTGTTGGAGACTAGAGTCTATAATAAATTAAAGGAGGTATTCGTAAGAATAAATTAGATTTAGGTTAACAAATAATCAAATATTTTTTCACTAATAGTATCATATTTTCTTGATGCACTGTATGTTTTTGCAAACGTGTGTAAAGCATATAACGCCTCAGCGGAGACATTCTCTGTTTGCTTTTTTAACGTGGGCCGCTGCATTAAATTTTATAAATGCGCAGAAATGCAAACATATGCACATAAATATATACTATATATTTATATATATAAATGTCTATATAAGTACATGTCTTCACTATACTAATATATGTATAATGTGTTTTATGTCAACATCAAAATAAAAGACAATGAAAACAATTTACTTTAAGAAAACAACATAACTATTTGTATTTGTTTGCACACAACCGTATATTTTTGTTATAGAAAAACAAGCATTTACATGGGCGAAAAGAAAATCTACAAAACAACTGGATAACGAGAAAAGTAAAAACACAATAGTGATACTGACAAATACAGAAATTGTGTAAGAGGCAATCGTCCGGCCTAAGATACCATCTTACAAGTAAGCATTTACTCCATAACGGCTGCCGAACTCAGTTCACAGGGCACTTCTCTTCGAGCCATTTCGACCTCACAGTTACCAGGAGAAAAGTAATCTCTTTGCAACTTTGTCTTGATAGCTTCAGCAAATTCTGTTTTCTATGGAGATGGTGTCATCCGAGTATACAATTACTCAATTGGTCTAGGCCGAAGACTTCTGGTATTTTATTTTTCTTAGTACAATGATCTGCTACTTTATTAAACTATATTTCTGAAATAGAAGGATCGTTTTCAAAGTGCTTCTGAATACACACAGGTAGACTTTCTACATGCTATATTAGACAGGTCTAAGGTATGATATATGAAAGTTTCTAAAGTAAAACGTAACAAAGTTATTAACCATCCGTCGTTGGTCTGGTTTTATAGAGGTCGCTAAACGCATATACATTCGGAAGAAATGCGAAAGGTTAATTTCAAAAGGAAAGGTTAATTTCAAGAGAAAGCTTTTTTCGACTTTTATAGTCCACTTAAAAAATATTCTGGAGACCGTCATACCTCTTATCGATCAATGGTAACAGTACCTTATCACGAAAAAATTTCGGAGAGTCGGCGGGACATTGAAATTTTTAAAGAATTCAAAAAGAAACAGCAATATTCAAAACGAGCTTTAGTTGCCTCTACACACAGTAGATGCCTTGCATCCATTTTATAGCTACACCAACCGGCTACAAGTAAAAATACTACATAACCTAATATGCGGAATAAAGTGTAGGTGGGTAATGAGTGCTGTGTGCTGTAGTCAACTAACTGAGATAACCATACAGATTGTTGTTGCGACGACCACTGCAGACGCCGAGGCTGACGAGTGGCAACTGTGAATAGATAGTGTGGCATACAAGAGGCCATCATCGTGAATGACAGACAGTGTTTGACAAGGTTCGTAAGGTGTAAAGGATGTGACGACTAAAGTGAACCACATTTTAACGTAGTCCTAACCTACTGACGAGGTAGTCACTTAACAAATAGAGACTTGTTGTTATAGTTTTTACAATTGAAAGTGGGGAAAACAAAAAACATGAAATGTGTATTTAGTCATGGCGCCTGTCGTTCATTAGCAAGCAAAATAAACGCGGGTTTAGCTTGCATATAAACAGACATACATACACCGTGCACTTGCAGACCAGCCTCTTATGGCCACAAACGTGTGTTGGCAATTTGTTTGGGTGTGCGACTGCGGTAAGTAGGCGTTGAAGTGCGCGTGCACTCTGCCTTGACATTTTATTTTCTATTTAAAATACAAAAACAAATGAAAAAGCGTTGAGAAATAAAATTACAGTAACTGAGGGGCGGTAAAGTGGCCACCGAAGCGGGTTTCCTGTTTGGCTAAGCAAATTAAACGGGTTTAAAAATGGCTAAAATGCATTAGATCGTATATTAACAGTATTATTAATGTTTTAAAGATGAGATATTTCAAAGATAAATAATATGTATATATTGGACAAAAATAAATCAAAAATCGCTAGAAACTGCAAAGATAGAGAGGGCACTCTTACCCCAATTTCAACAGATTGACAACGAGTCCTCTGAACTACTTGCTCTTAGGAAAGTTCATCTCGATGCCATGATAGACGTTCTGACAGGACATAGTCCAAAAGGCTAGCATGTAGTGAGGCTACATATCTTGACGGACACAAATTGCCGAAGCTGTATCCAAGAAGCTTGTATCGAAGCTACTCAACTCTTCAGCTTTTGTCACACTGAGGTTGAAACAAATCGGTAGATACACTTTCGGCGAAACTGGCGAAATAGCCGGTCTATTGATATTAGCCGTTTTAACAAAATTGTGGTAGGCTCACAGCGCTTCTGCCATCTATAAGACCATATCTGTGATTTTCGGAAATCACATAGCATTAGCGTTGATAGGTGATAGGATAGGTCTAAGTGTGATACTGCGTCACTATTGATGCGAGACTCCGTCCTACGGCCTAACCTAATCCAAGTTCGAAACTTACTCGGTATCGATCTTCTTCATCTTCAGCAAGATAGTTGCTCAAAGCCAGAACTCTCCTTCAAGTATTTGAATTTTTCAATTTTTTGTAAAACCGTTGAGATGCGATTTTAATCTGAAGAACTGATCAAAGTGACTGGAAAATGTGTCATATAGCTCGTGGAGGCTTACTTCTTGATGTAACCCGGTCACCGAAAGTTGCGCTGTCCTATTTATCTATTTGACTATTGATATCGACTTAGAGAGCCAAAAAGTTTAGAATTTTATTTGGTTGCATGAGAGGCGGGAGAGATTGCTCGTTGTTGTAAGGGTTCGCAATATGACAGTACTCGATATTTATATACCTGTTAATGCAGTAATGCGTTCCAACAGCTCAGCAAGATTTCCGCAGAACGAAATAAATTTCCCTGATTTTAAACGATGTTGTAGGGAAATATTTGCAATGACAGTTTGAAGACATTTACATTGTAAAGAAATATCTAAAACATGTGTTAATTGATGTAAAAATGGTTACGTAAAGATGAGGTTTTTTTTTCGAAATTCACCTCAAAAAACTTAACGTCATTTGTATTGTTGTTGTTTGATTCCACAATTAATAAATAATGTAAGCATTTGGCTATATGTTTCCTAAAATGAGCTTCCTAAACCCCAGAAGAAAAAACTGCATTTTGCACAATCTTAGTTAGGTACCTATTCATTCTTTCGAAATTCCAATACTCCCAAAAGGATAATAATAATAATAAAGCAACTTACAGAATAAGACAGGTACCTTTGGAATCCAAATCAATAATACCTATCACCAAAAAATCTCTCGAGGAACGAAGACGCAATATCAAGGATGAGAAATTGAGTAAGTCGGTTTTTAACGCAAAAGCATCTATACTTCAAGTGGCTAAAACCTTCTAAAAACCAGCTGTTAATAAAACTGTAACGAGGGTGAAATCGAGGGATGATTGCAAGGCAGTCTACTACTATAAATAGTCCAATATCATTAAGAAAATGCTATCAATGTGGATTGAGAAATTATTTCATAAACTTCAGACTTCAATGAAAGAAAAAAACAGTATATGATTTTATACTTAAGCAAGAAGTGTTTGAGTTTCAACACTTCAAACACAGTCTTGAGAAGGCAAACAGAACATAAAAGCAGAAAACGTGTTCGGCGCTTTACAGAAAAGAATCCTGGAACACATTCAAACTTCAAGAGAAATTTTTACTATGAACCATTCAACTGCATAAAAAAGTGCCAAGCCATATTAACTGTTTTACTCAGAACACATCACTATTTTTTTGTCTTCATACTTCTGCCGACGATTTTGCACAGCAATAGATAGGGTGAAACGAAAAGTCGTCGATTGTTTGTGAGAAAACAACACAAATCATACAATTGAACAGCAAAACAACAAATTATGGAAAACAATGAGATAAAAAGCAAAAGCTAAAAGCCTGCAGAAAGTGACAAGAAAAATTGCAACTTTGCATGAAAATTCTCAGTTAAGTGAGGCATAAAGCAAGTGGAAAATTCAATTAGGCGCCCAACTGACAATATATGGTATACAGCCGCCTTGCTACAAGTGGTAGAGTAGACAAGTGTAGGTGTACCGAGCAGTGTCTCAAGTGTATTAAATACTAGTTTGAAACGAAAACATGGAGGTGGTTGCGTTAGTATCTTACAAAAGTCGAAGAAAAAAACATACTACAAAAGGCGGCGCCAATTATGGTGGCGACTAAAATGAAAGGCATTGAACTAAAATAGCAAGAAGACAAGTATTTCATAACAAAAGGCAGGGCTTTAAGTTTAAGTTAATATTATATATACTTGGCCATACATAACTGTAAAGTAAATATCGCTAAAAAACAAAGGGTGCGTCATAAGCAATAGATATAGAGACATGTGCTTAGATTTGTCGTCACATTAATATTTAATGTTGCAATAAAATTTAATGGTTATGACCAACTGTTTGTAGCTGCATATCTGCTAATTTCTTTAGAGGTGTGAGATCATTTCACACCACAAGCGACAAAATCAATATTGTCTTGCTTATTTGGCGCACAAACGAGACTACAGCTCGATAAGCATTTTTGGCATGGAATAAGAAGTGAAATAATTAAAATTATTGCCTACAATTAGGCGCAATGGTAAATTCGACGAAGTCGCACACCCAATGTATCTCAACAAGTATAAAATGAATGTTTTTATTCCAATTTTATTTAATCTTAATTTAAATCTGAGCTGAAAATGGAAATTTTAAATAACCACATTTACTCCCACAGTCATATTTCTCATTGTTATATTATGGAAGTGGTTATAAATTACATTTGCAGTTATTTTTTTATGTGTCCAAAGGTTGTGTGGGTAGTACATATGTATATGAATTCACGAGATGATTATATATAATATTAAATACCTAAAATTATGTAAATATATGCGGAAGCGGTAGAAAGTAACTCAACAGGGTGTTTATTTACATAAATGGTTGCTATATATGCCAGTGTTTAAATTATTGATATTTCTATTTTATATAATACATACTAAAGCATTCGCTAGGGATAGATTCGTCTGACGTTTACGAAAGGTTTTTCCTTTCACTACTTATTGTAATAACTGTAACTAATATGTTGCTAAAAGTAAAACTTAATTTTTATTATTTATTATTAATTTTAGCAAAATTTTATTAGGTGCTGAACTTGGCTCAGATTATGCCTAAATGTAGGCAATGAATTTTTTTTTTTGTGTATGCCAGATCTCATATCTATTTTGTGTCGAGCTCTGGATAAATAGAGATTTATTAACATTTTGACTCCACATCATCTAGGTAGTCAAAGACACAAACCAATAAATGACGCTTCTAACAAAAATTAATCGTATTACAACTATGAATTATAAAATCCGATGTTAAAATCACTGTGGGCAGGAAGCATTTAATACAAATGAATATTTTATAACTTGAAATTGAATACAATCTAAGTAACACAATATATCATTACAGCTCAAGCTTTGTAGGAATTCATTAAGCATTTAGTACAGAGTACTTTAAAGTAATTTAGCTTTAAGTATTGGAGACGACATGTTTTCGAAAGAAAATTTTTTCCGAGTTCGGAAAGAAGTTAAAAGTAAAGTCATAAATTTTGAATAGTAATATGTACACGTACTTCTGAGTTCTTGTATATACTGAAAAGTACGACTAAGGTACCCGGTAAAGATTTTTATGACTTATGCACTTTCGACCCCCTTGAGAATTAAGACTTTATAATACCACATTTATAATGAGACACCATTCTATGAAATGGTCTTCCTTATTGACCAGAAACCCGTTCGATTTTAGTTATACTACCGTTTCCATAACTGTTAAAATAATTTTCAAATTTTCTCAAGCCCTTTAACCTGAGGCGTTTAAAGAAACGAGACATTACGAGCCATAAAATGAATATCAAGTAACAAATATCAAATTTTTGCTCACGCGAAAATAAGTTTTTATTACTTCTCATTCTAATTCATTACTTGAGACATGCTAAACTCGTCATGCAACAATTCAATAAAGAGACAAAGTTCACAACAGGGGTGGAACCGCTACACAAAACAAGCGATAGTCGAATTTTTTGAAATACTTTACAGCTATAGTTTCGGTATTTACGGGACTGCTTGCCAGTGTATCTGCATAGCCGGCAAGTTAAGTTATGGCGCTTTTTTTTTTGTCAGTAAATTTTATGGATTTACAAACGCAAAATAACAGTTTATGCATTCTGACAGTAAGTATTGACTACAATGCAGACACATCAACTAAGAAGGGTCTTAAATATTTGTATGTGTGTATATTTTCAACGACAGTTTGACATTAAGAAGCCAATTGGTGGAGTCACGGGGAAAAATATGCTTGCAAGTAAGGTCAATGCGGCAGACATGAAAATAAATGAATCTGAACTAACTTTGTAGTTTTTGTTGTTGTTGCTAATACCTACGAGACATGTGCGCCACACAAAGCAACGTTTGAATTTCTTTTGTCAGCTGTATTTCTTTTGCGTATTTTTACATGCACTGTTTCAGATTTAATTCGGTTTCTGTAAACTTTTCTCTTGCTGTCTCACCATAATCAGCCAAGCAGTGCATTTTCTAGAATTCTAAAGTTTAAAATAAATGCGCTGAACTATTGATTGTTGCATCGCGTAGCTCTTTGCGGATGCCGTCTGTTTGTTTAGCTATTTTAGTTATCGTAATAGTCAATATATTGTCGTCATGGCAAGCTGTTGGCTTTCCAGCTGAGTTGAGTTGTGCATATGGCACTTGAGTAGCATTTCTACTATATTTGCTCTTTGGTGCTATTTGAAAGTGCAGAAATGTGATGTGTTAACATATGCCGTTGTAATAGAAACATTTGTGCTGAGTAAATATTTTTTGATTTAATTGATTTACATTTAGAAAATTAGGCACAGTCTTATTCAAAATAAATGCAGTTTTTTTTTGACAAAAATTCTAATTTTATCAGCAGCAAATATTAAAATATTAAGTTTTGTACGCACAATTACAACAAAAAACAAAAATTTTGATTTTTTGTAATTAATATATGTACGCTTCAAAATTATAGCGACTCAAAACTTTATTTAATTTTAAAAAATCTGTTATTATATTTTCAAAAATGGTTAAATATCCAGAATTTTCATAATTATTAAATTTCTGACTTGCTATAAAAACTCGAAAATTTATTTGATCCTCAAAATCTGTTACTATTCTTTTCAAAATGTTTGAATATTATGAGCTTTTATTGTTATTGAATTTCTGACTTGCCATAAAATTATAGCAAATAGAAAAATAATTATTATTCTTACAAATATATGTACATGCAAAACCGCCTGAAATATTTTTACAAATG